AATCTCTATTTAAATGTTAATAAAACAGAAGTTACCCCAAAACTATTTGTATCTTTCTATCTTCCTGTTTGTATATATGGGTGCTCATTATTTATAAAATGTTTTTCCTATTGAATGTAAACTGACCTTTCTGGCATACTAAGGTTTTATAAAATGCAAGTGAATTCATGTTGAATTATCTTGCCACTTGTAGTTACTAGTAAAGAGGCCTCTTAGTTAAGTATCTTTATACTAAATATTTAATAGCAGTATCATTAAAATTTTTAAGAGAATTAATTTTAATATGACATCTATGCACACAATTTTATCATTTATATTTATCTCTACATATTGAAACCTTTCATTTTTTTTTATTTTTTCTAGTTTTCAACATTCTAAAGTTTTAGGAAAAAATACCACATATACCACATAGCATTTAGTCAAGTTAACGGATGCTCTTATTAAAAATAACGTCATTCCTCTGAGTTTTTTACTGCATTCTGTTTCAAAGCAGAAAACTTTCTTGTGTCAAAACAGTAAGCATTTACCTACCTTTGCCACCCATCAGAAAATAAATATCATCTTAAGTTTGACGTAAGTCACATGTGAAGGTTACAGGAAAAAGACAAAGTTTATCAAGTTTTCCTACCAGATCTCTGAAATTAGAGACACATTTGAGCCAAGATTCAGTCGTGTTTCCAACACACACAGCACATTCTGTGCTGCTGGACACGCAAACATGATCTGTCAACAAACCTAAAAAAAGACTGCGAAACCCTGGACAATGCCGAATCATATGACAGAAACTACTTAGTTTAATACAAGAAGGAGGAGGGAGCCCTGGCTGAAACAGAAGAATAAAGTTAAGTAACTTACCATCTATATTGCTTTTACAAACCAGCAATCACCTGAATCTATACTTCAGTGTTATTCAATTACTAAATGATGAAAATTTCAGTTTTCGTTTCACTTCTCTTCAGTTGAAAACAAAAAAGCCAGATTTAGAATTTTGTAGTTTTCTATAATCTCATCCTTTTTTAACAAACTGACACAGTTCCCCACATCTAATTTCCAGGAGTACTGTGCTCTGAGCTCCGCAAGGACTCTCACTGGACGAGACCGCCTTAGCAAGCCACTGTCTTCCCTCCTCTTCTGCCTCACCAGCTCTCCTGATCTCACCGGGTCTCTTCAGTTTGCTTTCTCTTTCTACAATATTTTATTTTCAGCTTTTTTCCCTCTAGATCATTTATATCAAAATATGGGAAAAACTGTTTTCCAAAATAACCCTGAAGATCACGGTAGTCTGACATTGAGAAAAATTAGATAAATAAGAGGGAGTATAAGATTAATAAGTTTAATGAAGCAAAGGCCTGATTTTAGGCCCAAGTTTGCCACCTACTGCGTGTTAACTTCAAACAAAATACTAAAGTTTGCAGATTTCACTTACGTCCTCGTTTGGAAAATGAGTTAACTATCGTTAACCATGAGAGAAATGCAAAAATCCACAAGAACTAATACTTTTGTGACATGCTACATCACATACACATAACCTGGTGATAAAATTGTGATCACCTTTGTATTTTTAATGAGAAAACAGAGTCCTAGAACAAATAGGTAAACAGATTTGTTCAGAATACAATTTTAGGGAATAATGCCGTCATCAATCTGAGTCAAGCAGTCCTACTCCAGAGGAAGCCCCATCTTCTCACCTTGTCCCTCACTGAGTTGGTATGAAAACCAAGTAAAATTTGTTGTTGAAAATATAGTTTTTTAGCAAATAATACTTTAGGAAGTTATAAAAGTGAACATTATTCAAGGGCTAATTATTTTTCATATGTTCACTGCAAATGAAATTACTGTTTTCTGTTTTAGATTTTTTTTTCTAATCTCATACAGAGAGAATATATGATCACTTACAAATATTTGGTGCTCTTCCATTTAAGTGACATATACACACAACTGTCCTGTTGAATCTGGGAGTTCTTATGTGATTTGTGTTCATAATTAAATGTGAGAAAGCCACCTAAACTGTTAAAGGCATAGGTCAAAATGATATTTTCTTTACTACTCTAAAGAGACTAAAAAGAATCCCTTTGATGATCTTAAATGAGGATAAAAAGTAAGTTTGAGTCTTATGTCACAAATTTTGTGACAAAAGCTTAATGTGTCTCCACTGGTTAATAGAAATATTTGGCTCCTGTAAGTTCCTTGATACATAACAGGTTCTTAAAACATTTCCTTTCCCATGAAATATGGAATGACAAGTTTAGAATAAGTTATAGTATCAGGAAACATTAACAATGAAATAAAATATTGTAATACAACAATTCAGTGATTTTTTTCAGACTCATAAAGAACCAGTAAAAACCTTCCTCCCCTTTCTACTGTGGTCCTACAGGTGGATGAGGGACATTTATGAATGCTAAGCAAGCATGCCAGTATTGAGATACAGTCCAACCTCAAGTTTCCAAAAATTTGTAAAAGGATTTTCCCCATTAATAAAACTGTCATCAACACATTGTTCTTTCCTTTCCTTTTTTTTATTTTTAAATTTTATTTTGTAGTTACTTAGAGTCACTTATCTGTATTTAGTCTAATTTAGTTATTGGGGAAGATGAGATATAAAAACGAGACAGGTGGCATAAGCTTAAATAAACACTTTTAAAATTAATATATTTTACATGTAAATGTTTGAAAAATAATTACAGGATACCTTTTGAACTATTCTAATTGTTAGTACCATTCATACTTATTTAAACTTGAATAATTATTGAAAAGACAAGTGATTGAATAGGAAAATATTCTAGCAATGTGTGATAAAAATAATGAGCATATGTGAGCACTATGTGTTAAATAAGAAAGAAAAAACTAAAAATTAAGTAGCTACAAAAATGATCAAGCATATTTTAATAGGAAGCCAGAGGGTCAAAAGATGCTAATGGTGCCAGAAATTTGAAATATTCAAATTAAAACCAAAATATTCATTTTTTTTCTAGTAGAAAGGACAAAATTAGAGAAAATACAACATCAATTTTTGGTTAGAGTGGAAAAAATGGCTCTATGATCTACGATAATGATGACAGAAGAATACAAATTGCAACTTTTATAAGGGAAAAATTTCTTATTACAGTTCAAAAGATGCTGTAAATTCCACTTATGTTTATGTAGCCTGCAGAATGTCTCATCTATGCATACAGGGAGACATGTACACAGCTGTTTATTAAAACCTTCCTTAGAAAAACAACATCTCTACAAATAAATGTCTATTGTATGAAAAAACATTTGCTAAATGAGAGAATTATATAGTCTTAGTGAAATTAACATGGTAAAATACTGTGCTATTCTATTCCTTTAGAAAACTTATTTTCTATAGACAACTGTGAATATAACATACACAATTATGTAAACGTTCATTTGGTCAAGTTAACTAAATTTGATCAAATCTTATTTTAATAATTACTTGTGTTAGTGCTTTAAATATCTAAATTTGATTATAGATTCCCTAATTTCTTAATATTCTTAAAGCTTTTTTCCCTTGATCTATTTTAAACATAAAAGGAGGGGGGAGATATTTTGAAATTGTTTATTTTCTAGTCAGAGATTCAAACACTTTAAATAATAAAAGATTTACCTTGGATAGTCCTTTGACCTTAAATTTATTTTATGCAGTATGCACAAAGCTACATTAACTTTTCTTTTGGTCAGTTTGCATAGAGCAGTTTTTCTAGTATTTTACTTTATCAAATTCTGTTTCTGTTTTTGGAATCATACCTGAAGAGGCTCATGTTTTGAACATAAACAATTTGCACTGGATTGAACTATTAGTATATATTTGTATTTAAATCTACATTCTTACTGCTTTATTAATTCTTCTTTTTAAATTCTTCCCTACTTACACACTGTTTTTGATTAATCTAATATTCTCCCTTTAACACAGTAGAAACCATGCACTCTTCTTCTATTCTATTAATGGGAACTAAATCATGCCAATTTTCGAAGTCCGAAAAAATTACTGATCTGCTTGCCAGAGAAAGTAAAGTAACCTTAGGATAGAAGAGAAAGATTTACTCTAAGTTTATAGTCACTTAGCAATCATTTGTCGTACTTTAAGTCAGTCTCTCGCTCTCGCTCTCACTCTCATATTTATTTTAAATTTTTTGAGATGTTTCCTTGTAGTCCCAGCTGGCCTTGCCCCACAGAGATTAGGCCTCCTGGGAATAAAGCGTGTACCAACAAACCCTGCCTTAATTCTTACATGTTGAATTCTGGAAGTGCTTTTCTTTGGAAACTGGGGAATTAATGTAATTTGCCTATAGGCATGTCACTCTACTTTCCATTTCATATATCAAATATCTCAGAAAACCTACATAGAATCACTCAGGATATTTAAAATATTTTCTTTATAATTTCCTTTGGTGATTATCTAATATGGACAAGTTTTGTTACTTGATAGTATAAAAGTGACCTGGTTTTACTTTTAATATTATTTTATATAAAGAGCATTATAGAAATCATTTTCTTTCAGGATTTTGAAGAAATTCTGAAGATATACTTCTTCCACTGTAATTTATAGACATTTCATGAGTGAATTTTTTTCCGTTACTACCTTAAAATATTTTGTGTTTATTACTAGATACCTTCTCAGACTGTGTCAAATATATGCATTTCTAATTTATTTTTCTTCTTTGAGAATCAGGTTTGAAATATTTATCAGTAAAAGCAAACTTTAATTTACAATACTCATCTGTGAGTATTGTGTTTTAGTGTTGTATGAGTGTTGTGTTATATGAGTATTGTGTATGGTGAAGATTACAATGCTTTTCATTAGTTTTTTGTTTATTTGGGGTGGTTTTTCTCCTTTTCTGTGGAGAAAAAAAGTATAAAAAAGTAATCACTGAGACCAAAAAGTCTGTAAATTCCCTTCCCATAAGTTAAATTTTCAAAGTTTACACTCAAACTCAATTTTGAAAAATTACTTTAAATAGATGTGAAGAGCAGGCTGTGCCTTGCTCTGTGATTCACTCTGTTGAATAAAACAGCGACGTTCAAGCTGTGTCTTTCCCTGACTGAGTCCATTTTATAAACCGACATTTGCCACAAAGTACTCCATTTTGAGTGTTAATGCACTGTTTGTACAAGGAAACAATCAGCATCTGCCGGCATGCCACAGGCCACAAACTGATGAATAATTTATTAATGCCAATAAAAAGTCCACTTGTGGATATTTTAAATAACAAAAGGAATAGAACACTCATGAGCTGATCAATTACACCAGCTCTAAACCCCTAATTTAAGACTATAAACAAAGAAACTCAAAGAAGATGGCACAGCATGCTGAACCATCATTCTATCATTCTTTCAGAGAAATTTCTCAGAAAATTAGCAAGAGGATTTTCAACTGTCCTCAGATTTTAGTTCAAGCGTAAACTCTCCTGCCAAATGCACAGTCCACTTCAGGATGACACTCTAAGCTGACACTCAGAACTGCCTGCCATGTGAACCTGTGCCTGACTGCTCTGTGCCTTGTGCTGGGTTCCTGAATCCTATATTTCTGCAACTAGTATTAAGTTTCTTCATCAGTATTTGACCTCTAACTTTGCTTTCAGTACTGACACTTTGCATCCTATGGCCTCTTCATCCCTTTATTACCTGGTCTGTAATCCACATGTCATAGTGTGAACTAAAATGTATGACCTGTTTTTCATTTATCAATCAAACTATGAAGGAAATATAGAACTATGATTGTCATGCTCAAATTAACCAAGCTAACTCAAAAATATTTTTGGTGACTTAAAGGTGATGGATGAATCTGATGAAATTTTGAAATTTCTTCCCATTCAATAAATTTTGACATAGATGTAAGACTCAAATGTGTATGTCTACATTACTTGCAAAATATACAAATGACAATTGTGGTAGTTAACGTGATTGCACTGGAATTGAGTAGCTTTAACACTAGAAAATATTTGAAATTATAATGACTTTTTTAAACAAACTACTTCATGATATAGACAAATTCCAATAGAGATTTGTAGTCAGAGAGGAAAAGTTCACTTGTCTAACCCAATGCCTGCCTTGCACTGCAGTGTAACACTATAGTTTTCATGG